CCCCAAAACCCCAAAACCCCAAAACCCCAAAACCCCATAGAATTAATTGTCCTACAAATTTAGAGATGACTTAATTATTCATCATAAATTCCAATTATATTATTACTTTTTGATCGAAATGGATTAATCACTATTAGCTAAGAATGATAGGACATTAGATCAATCTCAACATCAGGATCTAATCAAGAATGATTTGAGGCAATTCATGCCTGAGCAGGAAATTAAAGAAATGGGAATTTGGAATAAACTATTTTTCTCTTGGGCGAATGGCTTGATATCTGTAAGAAACTTTAATGATACATTAAACTCTTTACCAACTTTTGAATTCTTATAGTTTGCAAAAAAGAATTAAATACACATCAATCAGATGGGTAAAATTAAAGATCAGGATAGAGTAGAGCTTTAGTATAATAAACTTAAGAAAAGTTGGAAACTATACAAAAATAGAAAGGGAAATTCACTATTTAAAGCAGTGCTTCATGCATATAGATGTAAGTTTGAAGATTCATCAATATCTGATCTTTATAATATCGTGTCAATGAATCTGACACCAGAAAATCAGCTTTTATACTATTAATCGATAGAGATTTAATTTTGATTCTTAACTTTGACTATTTAGATGAGTATTTCATAGCAGTAATATTTAACTTGGTTGTGACTTCTATCGAAATAAGTTCACCTCTTCTAATAAAAAGAATTATAGACTATATTCAAGATCCAGATGAGGAGTAATACATTGGATTTCTGTTGGTCACAACATTGATAGTTACTCAAGGCTTCAAATATATTCTTTCAGATCACCTTGACTACTACTAGAGATTGATCGGAGTAAGATCTACGAATGCAATGATTGCATTGATTTACAATAAAACTTTGAAAGTTTCAAGCGCTACAAACAAGAAATTTTCAAATGGAGAAATTGTTAATTTCATCTAAGTTGACGCATAGAAACTAAACATTATATCTGAAAATCTAGCTACTGTGCTAAAGTAGCCTGTTTTATTAATAACCTGCATAGTCTTACTGTTTCACTATATGGGATCGTCATTCCTTGCCGGAGTAGCTGTAACGGCTGCTGCATTTTGTGTAAATCTATTTGTTAACAAGTTCTCGACCAGATATCAAACTGCTTACATGAAACTTTAGGATCAAAGAGTTAACCTAACAACAGAATGTTTAAACAACATTAAAATGCTTAAGCTATATTCCTGGTAAGAAGCTTTTGAAAGGATGATAGGGTAAAAAAGATCGGAAGAGTTGGCTGTTCTCTGGAAAATATTTACAGTCAGCTGTGTTAACATGACGTCTCAATACTTCTTTCCATCAATATTAGGTGCTGCTGTGTTTTCAGCATATATCGGTAGTGGGAATACACTTGACCTTAGTGTTGCTTACACTGTTAATACTATATTTAATTTGTTAAAGGTAAGATTAAATTATCAAAATTTATATTATACCTAGTAACCATTACTTTGGCTTCCTGTGTTTATGAACATTGTGATAGAGTTCACAGTTGCAATGAAAAGAATCTAAGAATTTTTGCTTTGCTAAGAAGTTAACAAGACCTTAATTAAAAAACTAGATGTACTATTAAAAA